TTTTTTGTATTTTAGGGAAGTGTCTACAGGGTGTTCAGGGTCTCACTACTAGATCAGACTCACAGTGATCTGCCTGTTTACAGCCTCCCAAGAGCTGGTATTACAGGCATGTGCCACCATACCCAGTCTCAGTTGAACCCCCAGCCCCTGCACCTGCTTGCAGGTACATTAATCCTCTGAGCTATTTGGCCGGCCCTGACCTTGAATTTTAAACTCTCTTAAGTTTAAGCTCTCAGTTTTCTTTCCCAGTAAAAAAAAGATAACAATTCAGAATTGTGGGGTTTAGGTGTGATAATGCATGTAAAGTTCTAGCCAAGTGCCTGGAACTCGGTAAGGATAACAATCACAGAATAAAGATCCAGTAGATTTTCCTAACTTCTCTTTTTTAGCCTTGGCACCAAATTGCATATTCTCATAAACAAGAGAAACTAGAACAGAGGTACTTGGTAAAAACTCAATTGCTTTCATCAAGATAAGTCTTTTTTTTTTTTTTTTTTTTTTTTTTTTTTTTTTTTTCTTTTTTTTGCGGTACCAGGGATTGAACTCAGGACCCTGTGCTTGTCAGGCAAGCATTTATTCTACTGAGCTATCTCCCTGGCCCTCAAGATAAGTATTTCATCAGACTAGGTTCAAAGAGAAGCCCAAATGAGGTGCTTGATACCCTTTTATTATATTTCACAACCATTTTTTTAATGTATTTGGTACAGGGTCTCACTGTGCAGCTCAGACTCATCCTCCTGTTTTCAGCCTCCCCAGCACTGGGATTACAGGAGTGTGCCACCACACGTGGTCTTGGTGGCTGGTTTAGTGCACCCAGGGGCAGGGCCAGTGCAGCAAATGGTGCCAGGGTTCAAAGCCCGGTCCCTGCACTTGCCCTAGCAGGTGCTCAATCTGCTGAGCTCTCTCACCAGCCCACAGCCATCTTTTGACACTTCTCTTGAGCAATATTTGGTCCAACCCACAATGCATGGCAGAATTAGAGGTGTTTAATGTTGATTTGGAGGACTTTGCCTAAGCATAATTGAGTCCCTGGAGTTTATTTTAATGAAGTGCTCAAAATTAAGGAGCAGAAACTGATTACATCATTTGATCCCAGGACCAGAAGCATGATCCTCTGAGAGCCTGGTTCCTGACTTCTGATGAACCAGGGAAAAGTCCCTTCCTCTTTGGTACACAGTCGCCCTGCCTCAGCCAGTTGCTGGGTGACACATGCTGAGAGGAAGACCCTGTGCCCACACATCCCTTCCAAAGAGTGACACATGAGCAGGACCCCAAGAAGCCACCCTCTTTGGGGGCCTTGTGTACATGCTGCTGTCCCTACTCCTGGCACGTGATGCGCGTGACCCTTCTGCAGGTCTCAGGCAAGGGCCCTGGGGTGGCACAGAGCCTGTAACTTTCCACAGGAGGCTTCCTCTTGCTTTTTACTTTGGGGGAGTAGCTAACAATCACCTCAGGGGCTTTTTTCTTTTGAGACTGATGTAGCTGGGGCCAAGCACCTCTCCTAGATTCTGACATTGGCTCAACACCCTAGAGGAAGGACAGGCCCTTTGTAACATTAACCCAGTCTGGCCCTGGGATGCTTTCACTAAATCCTCCCTCTGTTCTGAGCTCATATGTGTGACTTTGAAGTTGTACCCATTTCCTTGCAGATTGTGCATTTTATGTACATGATAAGAAAAGTTAGAAGACCCAGTTATTGCAGGGGCTCGCTTACTTCAGTCCAAGGAAAAGGCCCAAGCCTGAGGCAAACCCAGAAGGCTGCTGTGACTCCCCACAGAGAGCATTAGTACATGTGACAGGCAGGAAATTGACCCATGACATGTGGAAATTGACCCATGCCAAGGATGCCCTGTTCGTCATGGGTTTAATTTTTCCCATCTGAGTAATGGGATCAAGGTGAGCTCAACACAAGCATCAGGAATCATGGTTAGTTTGTGTCCCCAGTGGCACCCCTAAGTGCCTCCAGATGCTTTCATTTGCCAGCTTGCGCCCTCAGGTCTTGCTGCTGGCTTCTCACAGATCAAGAGAGCCTGAAGCCACAGCCCATCACCTAACCTGTCCTTTGGGCCTGGCAAGAGATTGAGGAGTCTGTGTCCTTGAGAAATAATCACTAGGGTCAGGGAGATAGTTCAGCAGAATGAGCACTTGCCTAGCAAGCACAAGGGCCTGAGTTCAATCCCCGGTTCCTAAAAGAAAGAAAGAAAGTAAATGACCTTTTTTTTTTTTTTTTCCAAATTGTAATTGCTCTAAACTTATGCTCGTGACATTAACATACTCTCACCTTCTGGCCAGAGTAATTGGCTTAATTAAAAATAATCTGTGTCAGCCATACTTGTTCCTGTTCCTCATACTTGTTCCTGTCCCTCATACAAGAGCATTTCCTTAATTCAGAAGTGCTGAGATTTGAGATTATAGACCCTTTGCTTTGCACACCCCTTGTCTTCTCACCCAGTGGAAATTTCCATTAGAACAATATAGGGCTGGGGAGATGGCTCAGTAGAATAAGCGCTTTCCTGGCAAGCGCAAGGGCCTGAGTTCAATCCTCAGTTCCACCAAAAAAAAGACAAAAGATCAGAACAATGTAAAATATAGTTGTAGTACTATGGTATAAAAGCAATATTACAGACCAAATGTAGAATCAAAGGTACTATAAAATGGCACTGTACAAAATACATGTCTTGTATCATCTCTAGCCAGTGGATAGCCATATCTTTTTCCTAAAAGTGGTTTTTTTTTTTTTTTTTTTGCTCCGAATGCCCTCAGGGGTGGTTTGGCTGGCTCTAGTGTTGTGGGGATCGAACTACAGCAACCTGAGGCTGACAGCATTGTGGAAGCAGCCACTTAAACAACTGAGCTAAGGCCAGGCCCCTAAAAGTGGTTTTTTTGGAGGGGGTTTGGGTTTTTTGTTTTGTTTTTGGCAGAACTGGGGATTGAACTCAGGCGCTTACACTTGCCAGGGAAGCGCTTATTCTACTGAGCCATCTCCTGGCCCCCTAAAAGTGTTTTTGAAAAAAAAAGTTAATAAATCATTATTTGTTTCACTTTTTATGAAATTTAATTTTATGTGAAATTTGTTTGGTGGTGGTGGTTTTTGTTTTGTTTTTGTGTTTGTCTTTTTAAACCAGTTTTTCACTAAGCAGTTCAGGCTGGCCTTGAACTCACTTTATAGCCTATGCTGGCCTCAAACTCATAGCAATCCTCCTGCCTCAGCCTCCTGAGTGCTGGGATTACAAACGAGCACCACTATTCCTAGCCCATGAAATTTAATTTAATCAAAAAATAATATTTACACTTTTTTTTTTAAAGTGTGTGTTCTTTCTCATTTTAAGAGATTTAAACTAAAGGACTTACAGGAATCTCTTTTGAGGAAAAAGAAATACTTCCCTCATTATCAAGTGAGATAACATATATAGAAGTGACCTGTCACCTCTGAAGCACAACCACACACCTGTTTGCACATTGTCACATTGTCATCCTAGCCGCTAGCTGGGAAGTGCAGTCCAAAGCACTCTGGAGAGCTGCTTCCTGCCGCAACCCCCAATGCCTGCCCGCCCAGGGGGATTCTCCCCAGAAGCTGATCTTACCAAGCACACAATACCACGTTTGGCTCTGCCCTGCTATGAGTCCCGTTTTCACCCCTAGAGCATTTCTGCATGAAGCTCCCTGGGTACCTTCCTTTTTTAGCAAGATTCTCTTCTGTCTCCACAGTTCTGAATGACATCATTTCAACCATGTTCAACAGAAAGTTTATGGAGGAGCTGTTCAAGCCCCAAGAGCTCTACTCCAAGAAGGCCCTGAGGACCGTCTACGACCGCCTGGCTCACGCCTCCATCATGAGACTGAACCAGGCCAGTATGGACAAGGTGAGCAGACAGCTGCTCTGTCGGCCTAGCTGCACCTCTGGTACCTCTCATGTGCCTGATCGTGGGTGGGGGTCATGGAATGATGTATGCATTGGTGCCTTGCAGAAAACAGGGACTTGGAAATACTAGCAGGGGTTGTTGAGTTGTAGCGTTGGGAGAGACCTCAATAAGAATCCACACTGTTAACTCTTGCTTACGTCACTTTGCCTACCCAAAGAGAATACTGGTTTTCATGTCCATAGTTATGAGTACAGTATGCCTACCCCAATATACTCAACCCTCAGAACTTTAGTTCTGTCTTGTTTCTAACAGATGTCATCTCTGCAATGAAGAAAGCAGGAATTTTTAAATACAAATTTAAAAATATTCACTATTTATAATGTAAACATGTCTGTTTCTTTTTTTTTTTTTTTTTTTTTTTTTTTGCGGAACCGGGGATTGAACTCAGGCCCTTGCACTTGCCAGGGAAGCACTTATTCCACTGAGCCATCTCCCCAGGCCCCTGTCTGTTTCTTCAGTAAACAAATTATTGATTTAATTTCTAAAATACTAATTTTAGTATTTTGGCATTCTGATTTCTAAAATACTAATTCCAAGCAGGCATGGTGGTGCACACCTGTAATCCCCAGGGATTAATTTACAGGGAAGCTAAACTCAGGGGATCACCATGAGTTTAAGGCCAGCCTGCAATACACAGCAAGATACTGTCTCAAAAGAAAAGGAATGCTGACTCCATACAAACAAATGGCAAGTATGTTAGCTTTATGCTGATGAAACACCCAACCTGAGCAACTTAAAGCATTAAAGGTTTCTTTCAGCTCGAATTTTTAGGGGCTGCAGTCCATGGTTGGCCGGCTTGATGACAGCTTTCGGTGAGGCGGGGAATATCGTGGTAGAAGGGCAGGTGCAGGACAGCTGCAAGCAGTGGAGAGGGAGCAGGAAAAGGCCCAGGGAGGGGGAAGCGAGCTGAGGCTGGCCCTGCTGCGGCCCCCGGAGGGCCTGCTTCCTCCAGCTTCCACTCAGCTATAAACTCCTTAGTGGGTTAGACCCCGATGTGGCCCACACCTACGTCATCCAGTCGCCTTTCTGGGCCCCCACCTCCAAACTTGATACATGGGAATCAGGCCCTCGACATTTAAGTTTTTGAGAAGTACCTCTTATTTAAGTCATAACAGCAAGACAGACAAATCTGATCCGAAGAACGTCCAAATAATTTATAGACATACTCTCCCCTCGGAAAGAGCAGGTAACTTCCACTTATTAAGTGGAAGGTGCACTTCAGGACTTCTCTTGGAAATAATATGGAATAGGAAGAGGAAAGAAAACTGTTGGCTTTATTCCGGAGCTAGCTGGCAGTCAGGTGGTCAAGGGCCACAGCAGCAGTGACATGCTAAGAGTGGCACTTCCTCACCAGCACCCACGGCCCAGCTAACCGTGGGAAAACATTCAACAGATGTCATTGGCCAGCAAATTTAATCATCATGTTATGCAAACATACTAATAAAAATAACAATTTTTAAAAGTCATTGCTATGCTACAGAATACCCGATTGGTATTCAAAACCGTCAAAGTCACTAAAAACAAGAATGTCAGGGAAACTGTCACAGCCACCAAGAGAACATGAATAAATAGGATAAGGTCATAGAACAGAAATAAGAAATTATGGAGAGGGATGGGGAGATAGCTTAGCACTCTTAAGTGCCTTCCTAGCAAGTACAAGGACCTGGCTTCGATCCCCAGCACCACATGCTGTGCCAGCCGCTTAACCCCAGACCTGGGGCCGGGGAGATGGCTCAGTGGAATAAGTGCTTCCCTGGCAAGCGCAAGGGCCTGAGTTCAATCCCCGGTTCCGCAAAAAAAAAAAAAAAAAAAAAGGAAAAAAACCCAGACCCGCCATTCTGACCCCCAAAACTGGGCATAGTGGCACATGCCTGTAATCCCAGCATTGGGGAGGCTGAGACAGGAGGATCATAACTGTGAACTATGACGTGAGACCTTGTATCAAAAACAAAAAATAAATAACATCTTAGTCTATTATGTACTTTAGTGAATTCAATGAATAATTTATTTTCAAGTTTCTCCATTATATATATATATTTTTTTAAAATCATAAAGACCCACCACCCTGGCGTGATTCTGTCCTGCATGTCTGTTCTGTGGAGCAGGACTCATTCATTTCCGTCCACGTTCTCTCCCACCTCTGTGCACACCAACACTCCATGGAGATTCAATGGATATGGATGTGAGCCCCCTGAGGCCCCAGAACTATCTCTCTGGTTGTGAACTAAAGGCAGACAAAGAAGTCCGGGGCGCGCGCCTGTAATCCCAGAACTTGGGAGGCAGAAATCAGGAGGATCGCTACTAATGTGGGCTATGTAGTGAGACCCTGAACAAAAAAAAAAAAAGAAAGAAAACCTAAAGGCAGACAAAGATTACCACTTTAAGGTGGATAACGATGAAAATGAGCACCCATTGTCATTAAGAACAGTCAGTTCAGGGGCTGGTGCAAAGGATGAATGACACATTGCTGAGGCAGAGCCTATGAATTATGAAGGCAGTCCAACTAAAGTAACACTGGAAACTTTGAAAATGTCTGTACAGCCAACGATTTCCCTTGGAGGCTTTGAAATTACACCACCTGTTGTCTTAAGGTTGAAGTGTGGTTCAGGGCCTGTGCATATTAGTGGACAGCATTTAGTAGCTGTGGAAGAAGATGCAGAGTCAGAAGAGGAAGAACATGTAAAACTCCTAAGTATATCTGGAAAGCAATCTGCCCCTAGAGGTGGCAGCAAGTTTCCACAGAAAAAAGTAAAACTCGCTGCTGCTGAAGACGACAAGGACAATGAGGATGAGGATGAGGGAGGATGATGGTTTTGATGAAGAAACTGAAGAGAAAGCTCCAGTGAAGAAATCAATACAAGATACTCCAGCCAAAAATGCACAGAAATCAAACCAGAATGGAAAAGACTCAAAACCGTCAACACCAAGATCAAAAGAGCAGAAATCCTTCAAGAAACAGGAAAAGACTCCTAAAACACCAAAAGGACCTAGTTCTGTAGAAGACATTAAAGCAAAAATGCAAGCAAGTATAGAAAAAGCACATTGAGGGC